AAAATTCTTTTAGAAACTATTATGGTCGTCAGTAATGAAGGCACTCAGATGCTTTTGCAATAACTTTTGGCAGAAACAAGGTCGAGACCTGCGGTTTTCAGCGTTTCATAAACAAAATCTTTTCTAAAAAAATAATCATAATCTTTATTTCAAAGGATTTACGAAAAATCTCGCGAGATTTCTAACAACTACCATAAGAACCTATTGCATTTTTTACATATTCGGAATCAGCATTAAAAACTGAGTTGACTCATATATGTTTCAAATTTCTTCACGAACCTTTTTTACTCGCAAATGCACCCCGAGTCCCTCAGAAGGTGGTAGATCACAGAATCACTTCAGTCAAAATATCACTTGGACAATGGAAAGGAAATTCAAAGCTTGTCAAATACTAATATAAAATAAAATAGAAAATGACTAATAAATAAAAGCGATTTTTTGGCTGAGTTCATTTTTTGATTTACCACTCTCTCGGGGACTACAAATGAATTTTGTGACCAAAAAAAGTTTGTGAAAAATTTGAAATATACATGAGTCAATTCAGTTTTCAATGCTGATTCCACATATGGAAAAAAGAACGCAATAAGTTCCTATGGTGGTTTTCAGACACCGAGCATTGTTTTTCAGTGATCCTTTGAAACCACTATTTCGATTTTTTTCACAAATAACCCTGCCTATGAAAGTATGCTTCTTGGCCTTGGCTATCAAACGCTAAAAACTACAGGTCTCTATCTTGTTCCTATCGAAAGTTATTGCAAAGCTATCTGAATGCCTTCAGTTCTGGCACCAATAATAGTTCATTTTAAGAAAGCCAAAACACATTTAGAATTCGAGGATGAAGGTAGTTTGTTGTTGGTAAAACCTCACTGTTGTTGTTAAAAATAATGCAGTTCTCCGAGAAAATCATTTCAATCATTTAAGGTGTTTCGTGTTCTTTCAGATCCAATGAAAAGGATAATAGTACTCTCAAGACCAAACATAAAAGGCATTGAAAACAAAATTTTCCTGGAAAAGAAAAGTTGATCAAAGCAACAGTGATCCAAAAGAAAATAAATGCCGGTTTTATGACGTCCACCAAACTTGGAAAATTTGGCTAATTTGAAGCAGAACCGCAAATGATTTTGGCACTATGTTGGAAGGAAGATATTCTACCTTTGTAAAAATAACAAGAAGCCTCTCCTACTCTCAATGTTGGTTACTTAGAATTATAGCTGCATAAAAGAAAAACGGAAACAATTATCTATTACACCCAAATATCTCATTCAATGTCATTTATGGTGCTCTTTTTCAGCTCTATACTGTCATTTAAAGTTTGTGCTAAAAATATATGAAAATACACTCCTCTCGTTTGAATGACATTATCCTTACTTATGAAAATTTTGCTTGTTGTTTTGAACAAATTATGATCAATAGGAATGTATTTTATTTCTATTTGAACTTTTTTCATCAATTTGTGACATATAAACTTTAAATACGAACTTCCTCGATAATAAAAGTTCTAATCACTCTCGATTATTGTCAAAAAAAGTATTTTTTTAACTACAGATTTAAATCACCGGACTTGACTATTAAAGAAACGCTGGTCTTGATCTTAGAGAAATCCTTTTGAATGTTTGAGAAAAAAAAATTCTCTATTTGACTCGCTATGTTCTAAACAACCCTCGACTTTTTCTTTTTTTTGAAAGAACATTTGCCTTCGAAAAAAGTAGGTATAATGTTTACAATAAAAAAATTCATCGTCATTGGTTACATTAGCAGAGAGAAAAAATGCGAAATTGTTCTCTCTAGTCTCTCTTCAGATAAAATGTATTCTTCATACAATTATAAAAAGAAAGGTTTCGTTGTGCATAAACTTGGCTATTTGCTTTCGTTTAATAGTTGCACAGAGCATAATGTAGTAGCTAAGCTTCTCAACGAAAAAATATTTCTTTCATGCTTCATTTTAATTTCATTTTCTTGACTACGTCATAACTGACTGCCATTTTTAAAATATTCCTCTTCTGAGAACTGCTTTTTTTCTTTTTCTTGTTTTTTTTGTTAACTCAGTTTGTTTACCTAGAAGAACGTATAACTATAAGCAAAGTTGGAAATATTTCAATAAGTGAAACTCGTTTATAATGTTGCCTACCAAAATCTATCAAATTTTATAATAAGTAATTGGACACGTCCAGCCATCAAATGCTTGTATGTATTTATCTTGAGTCGCTATCCAAACATTACAGTTTTCCTTATAATTGAACAAGTTAACTATTAATTCTAATGAATGTTTTGCTAGAGTTTCGGTAGATCAATAGATTTATTTGTTAGAGATTTTGTCATATGGGCTGAAAATTATACAGACCACTCACGAGGATTTGTTTTGAAAAACCGCTGTAAACCGCAGTTTTCGAATCTCATCGCGATAAAACTCGAGGAAACTGCGTTATTAAGTACCGCGGTAATTATTAGTTTGGAATGCTGTGGTGTCCTGATTGATAATCACGGTGTGCGATACCGGAGCATTTAGCGGCTTCAGAAACCGTGGCATTCTCACTACAGATCGTGGTATTGAATATCGCGATGAGTGGTGGTTTTACAAACCGTGGTGATGCACACCATAACCGCAGTATCTTATCCTTTAGTTTTGTAAAGCACCAAATACTGGTAGTGTAATTATAACTGCAGTCACGAGTCTTCTAATCAGTTTCTATAACGAAAGCTTTCCATAAAACTGCGTTTTTTTTATGTTGATGTGCATCTAATGTCCATTACTGTCCTAACCTAATTCGTGTAGTATGCATATAGAAGTACGTTAGCATGTATAAGGACGAATAGGATGCCGTGCTCAACTATTTTGAAGAAATTTTAAATAAATTTTCTTATTCTATCTCACACTGCAATACGACTTTGTGGTAATGGGACTTGAAAAAGTTCACTACAATGTCCCTCGAAGGACAACCTAGCTAGAATTTAGGAAAAGTTTCGATGGATTCGATCATCTTGAGCCAGATCTTCTGACACACGTATGCCTAGAGAAATCACTGTGTACCGCTGTCCTAATAGACCGTGATTTCCATTGATTTTAATGATCACCCTCAGAAAAGTTGATTTTCGTCAAAAAAGTCATTTTTGAAATAAGCATGTGGCCATGTAGTCTAAGCTGTCTAGTGTACGAATTCATAAAATAGTTTTGATTTTTCGAACATTTTCAGAGATTTTATGAAAGATCTTTTGTATCACTGTCCGCTCCAAAATACAACGTCGTTGCTTTCTTTTAGAACAACTTTTGATAAAAACAAGACAGGGAGCTGTGGCTTTCTCCGTTGCAAAGAGGAGGTTCAGGGACATACACATTTGCTAAAGCTTGATTGGTCAGTAGTAGATCAATCAGATTAATAGTTGGTGAACATGCAAAAAAACAATTTCTTTTTTTTTGGAGTCGTTTCTTTAGCAATCCTTGGTTGTTAATGTGACTGTTAGATAGGAAATATTGTTCTATTTTGATATATATAAGGCCGGTACTGCTAGCTTGTTCCATTCAAAATTTATGAAGGTTTTCGGGAGACGCCTATTTCAGCTAATCGACCTAGAATCATCCATAAAAGCATCTAGAGAGAGTTACTTTCCCATCCTGGTTTCAATGGTAATCTTTGTTTTGATATTTGAAATGACCTGACACTAGCTCGCACTCATACGAAAACCTGCATCCATACTCATACTAAACGTCCACGTCCACCCTCTCACACCCATACCCTCACATCTACATCCCACACTCATACACACGTCCACACCTACAGCCTTTCTCAGTACACTTCACTCTAACGAGATGTATTTTTTTTAATTGATAGATATATACGTAGTCCTTCAGATGAGGAAAGGGATTTTTTAATTAATCGTCAATGTTAGAGAAACTCAGGGTTGTCCAGACAACCATCCCTAGAAAGTTCAGGTTTTTTGAGATTTCGATGATCCAAAAATGAAACAGAGTAAAAATTAAAAAAGCCTTTCCCTCATCCGAAGTAGTAATGAGTTCTCTTTCCAATGAAACCAAGCCGAGCTGAACAGCTTGAAATATGTTTTTAAAAAATTTGTACGCGTAAAAGTCCTGTTTGGCAGCTTGGTCTCTAAAAAATCTCCTGAACGGTATAAGTAAAGAGGCGTGAAATTTTTTTTAGTAATTTACTTTCATGAGCCCAACATCTCTGCAAAGTTAGATTTTTGAGGGGCTCTTAAGTAACCACGAAATTCAAATCCTTTGTTCAGTGTTTCAAAACTACTGTAAACTGCAGCAGGGAAAAAACAGCGGTTATCAGCAGTTTTTCGAAACCGCGATAGTTAGACCGTTGATTCGGTTTTTTGAAACACGATATTCCCATGGTTGCTAATCCCCTAAAAACTTATCCCTTTTATGTATATTGGGGGATAGTTCGGCATCATTTCTTAACTTGCAGCATGAAACTTCAACAATGAAATACTTTATATATAGATTTCAAATACACATTAGTTATGCAATAACCTCTAATTAGTTCCTTAAAGGCGTCTGTGGCAGTCTGTGACGGGTAATTAGTTAATTAAATACTAACTAATTGATTAATTAATTAATTAAGAAGTCTGTCATGGTCTATGGGGGATAAGTACAAATTTCTACCATATATACTTCAACATTCCTTTTAGACGGTATTTCACAAAATGTGCAAGTAAGACCGTTTAGTTGATTTTTCTAAACTGCTGAAAACTGCGGTTTTTCTTCAAAATCTTTTCCGTGAGTAGATTTGTACTCAAGAAGATAATCCCTTTCAACCTTGATTAAAATTCATTCAGGATTCACTTTATAATTATCAAAGTAGTAAAGAACAAGTACTTTGCTTTTTATATTTCCTATGGTAGTAATTTATCTTATTGTTTCATTGGTCCTATACACAGAACAATGTTGAATCATACTAATAATATTAAGTATTTTGGCTTTCGCTTATAGTTTTTGTATTTATTTCTAGGAAAGAAGATTATTTTGAACGACTTAAATGGCATCTATTGCAACTGCATCCATATTAACAATAGTCGATAAAATTATTGAACGAGCAAATGAAGTAAAGGTGTGTCAAGATCATATGAAACTAATAATAACTAGTTTAACACGTCTTCAACATCGGCTTAATGATAAATTAATCGTATTAGACGAAACTCGTTCACAAGAAGATCTTGTAGAAATACTAAAAGCCATCAATGAAATTGTTATTAGTTGTGTGAAAAATGAAAACCTTCTTAATGGGATGACTTACAAGGATCTTGAATCTGTACTACTTCGTCTTCAATATCGACTAGCTCAATATGAATCTAATCTAGCAAATGACTGTGAAATTAGAGTCCAAATATTATCTGACGCTTTACAAAACCAACGGCTCTGTGTTACGAAATCTTCTGATGAGACATTGATACAACGATTAGATGCACTTGAACAACAAACGAAGAAAAATATCATAGAAAAACTTTGTCACTTACGTGAAAAACATCTCAAAACGATCGAATCTTATCTTCGTACTTGTATTGAATTACATCAATGGGAACTTATTCCTGGTCTCACTAGTGATATTGTTGCCAAAGTTGCCAATTTTTTCTATCGAATCTCTAGCAGAGAACAAATGATATTAGAAAATGAATGGCGATCATGTAAATTTCCTATCAAACGCACATTCATTCGATTTAAAGCCGATAAATTGACACCATTCGAAAGAAACGGGTTGCAACGATTATTGCCGAAAGATGAAGACAATATGGTACAAGGTGTGCATACTAGAAGAGAAAGACTCAGAGAAATGTGGGAACAATTAGTATCGACTCCCTACACGAAATCTGTTGTTAAGACAGATCATTGTTCAGAAGTTTATGATATGAATGAGGAACAGTTTCTTCGGAATAAACGTTGGAGTATTATTTTGGGTGACCCAGGAAGTGGAAAAACAATTTTTGTTCGATGGCTTGTTTATCATCTTGCTCAAACACTTCTTCTCAATGAACAGCACTCAACTGATTATGGCCCTCTTCGTATACCAATTCTAATTCGTATTAGTGAACTTACCGTAGCATTGAAAGAACAACCATCACTAACATTATTTGATTATATTGGAAAACACAAATGGATGAAAGAGCCAATTGTTGATGATTCATCAATCTCTTCAGATAATATATCATATGCTCTTCAAGATTACATTCAGCAAGGTCAAGCTTTAATCATACTTGATGGTCTTGATGAAATTCATGTTCCAGATCAACGCTTAAAAATCATTAATATTATTGAAAGTTTTGTAAACACTTACGTTCAGACACCCACAGATAGTTCAGCTATCAACAATGCATACTTAAACAAGCTATTGGATGATCCATCTCGATCTGGAGGTAATCAATTGATCGTTACAAGTCGCATAGTCAGTTATCATACTACTTCATTATCGGGACAATTTTCTAGCTACATAATTCGACCTATGGATACGAAATATATAACAGATTTTGTTGATTATTGGTTTTTTCGTGTGCATCAACATATAATTGACATGTTAAATCTTCCAGCAGTTAATCAAGCAGAAAATCATAGTGAAGCGCTGAAAAAAGAATTAGAAAAAACAATGAATGCTAGTCTTCTTGAAATGGCTTCGAATTCTGCTCTATTATCATGTATTTGTACTGTATATTTTAGTCAATTAGACGGTTCACCATTACCTACTCAACGTTTTCTTCAATATGAATTAATTGTTAAACAAGTGTTAAATTTTTGGCGTATTAAAGTACCGACTGTAGACCAATCACAAGTGATTCAAATTTTGAGTGACATCGCTTTTTGTATCAATCAAAATCCAGCATCGAATTTTATTAACAATGAACAGATAAAAGAAGTTTGTATTCAAAGGACCAAAACTTTCATAAACAAACCATTAGTAACGACAGATGATATCAATGATTTTGAAAGGCAAGCATCTGAAATGGCACAAATCATTTGTGATGATATTGGTATTTTAGTTCCGCGACCTGGATCACTTTATGGTTTTCTTCATCAAGCGTTTCAAGAATATTTTACTTGTTTAAAACTCATCGAGACACATACACCAATAAAACAGAAGAGATTCATTACTGATGTGTTTGATCGAGACAACCAAATTCAACTTATCACTCAAGTGTTGTCTCGTCACGTCACTGATCTACGGTTTCGTGTACCAATCGCACTGGCTTTAGGGAAAATTAGTTCATCTTGGTCCCAAAACGATTTTGACGATCTTTGCTACGAGTTAATACAAGCTCAATATGAATATGACTGTTTTTTACCACTTGGTGCTTATATATTAATTACTTGTGTCGATGAATTTGTCAATTATCCTTCGAATGACATACTGTTCGATGCTTTAGAACGTTTAATAATTGCCGCTGGTCAACATAAATGGTGGATTGTTTGTCCGTTTTTACTCGATCAAATAATAAACGTACTAAGAAAATTTCGACAGAATATTGTTTCATTATGGATTAATAAATTTTTATCTGAATCGTCTCGACATGATATTCAAACCATAACAGCTCTTTGCAAACTTCTCGAAGGAAGACCTCATGAATTTGAAAATATTCAATGGTTAGATCAAACATCTTGTTCAATGCTTCAATCGTTATTAACTCTTGATAACGGAAATAGTGAATTTGCTATTGATCGATTATTAGTTAAAATTGCTTTCTCAAATCATCAGTTATTACCTTCGAATTCAACTACGTTCAAAGGTTTCCTAATTGATAAGCAAATTGAAAGAAATTCAATTCCTGTTCTTCTCTTTCCGTTAATTATTGCTTTATATGGTGGCTTGGCACGAGATGGTCAAAGCGTTGTCTTCAATCCTTGGCATATTCATCGAGAATCATCTGTATTAACACCAATTTTAATACGTTTTCTTTCTGCAAATGATCGTGAAAAACAAGATCAAAATTTAAAAAAACTACAACAAGAATGTTTACAATCTTTTATCATGCGAATGGAAAAACATGACGAATCTTTAGAAGCAGTTGATTTGTGTATTGCAGCTATTTGCTTATATAACATTGAATATATCCATAATAATTTAGATATTATTTCCCATTCTTTTTTACGTATTTGTATGAATAGATTAAAATATATTTCAATGATTTTACGTCAATTCTACTTTACTATGAATGAAAATGATCTATCCATGGAAAAGGAAACCACAAAATTTATTTCAACTAGTATCAACAAATTTCAATTTGTTGAAGCAGCAAGATTTTATTTTCTTGATATGTTAAATTCACTAAGAAGTAGTGTAGCTCGTTTACGATCTTCGACAACATCAATTTTATTGGAAGGTTTATCAGAACCTGATAAACGAGTGACATTACATCTACCTAATTCTCTGCGAAATGAGAATCAATTCCTTAATGGTCTGTTAATAACAGATGTGCAATTTCATTCTAATAAAAAATCTTGCTCATTAATTCATCATTTCACCAAACTTTTCTGGTTATTAGAACACAATGAAGAGTTTGGTCACCATATAGAATGTCAACTGCTTTGAATACAATACCGGAATATTTACTATTTCGAAATGATGAAGATATTATAACTTCGTTAACATTTGTTCCTTCACATTTACAGAATCTTTATATTCGATTATTGAAAGAAAAATTTATTATAATCAATCCAAAAGATTCAATAGCCAATAGCAAACAACATCTTTATTTTGGTCACATTCTGACTGAATGTTTAATATCTTTATCAAATGCATCGTGCAAGAGATTGTCTATTTTAGGCGCTTTAATCAACCTGTTACCTTGGCTTCGAATGCAGCAATTAGAAAATTTTGCAAGTAGTCTTTTATGGACATTAGCTATAGATGATTCCATTCTTTTGGATATTTATGAAACAAAAAGAAAACGTCCAACCAATTATGAAACTGGTCAATACATGGACAGAGATACAGACTTTTTCAAAGGATCTCATCTAAAAGATGAAAAACGGAAAACAATAATCCGAACTAATATCGAACAAGAATATCAAAGACTTCAAAATGCTTCCATTAATAATGATCAAAAAAATTTTAAACTCTATTCTGCATCAATCTCCTTGGCACATATTTGTCGTTGGACGGACGATGAAAGAAAATTATTTTTATTAGAACAATGTATAAATAGTGCCATGTCAATTCAAAATCAACCTGTTCGTCTTGATGCATTATGTCTAATTGCTTTATACTCACATTCTGACTATGATAAAATTAAAGTAGATAGAGACAGATCTCTAAAAATGGAAATCGAACGTCAATTCAATGAAATTTATCCAAATTTACCTCTTCTATTACAAACAGCTATTTTTATTCGATGTTTACCTTTACTTCTAAATTCACAAGCAATTGACGATTGTCTTCAAAATCTCATTGGTAAATTGAATGATATAGATCAACGAGATCGGCAAGCAGTCATTGAAGCCTTGTTACCATACATGGAATTGAATTATACTTTTTCATATATTACAAATCGTTTTTCATATTCTTTACAAGACCACAATAGAAACATATATAATAAATCTTCTGCTTTGAAGAAATATTTTGATATTAGTACACATGAAAATCTATCGTTCTCATTATCTATTTCAAATTTATATCTTGTGGAATTAGCCAATGATTTTCATACTATTTTTCAAGCGGATAATCGTCAATTTAGCATCGATGAGTCGATTGAAACAAAACTATTTCAAGTCGGAAAAAGTATTTTGAGAGAAGAACAAGTATTAACAATAACTAATATTCTTAACTTCGTTTCATTAACAAATCAATATAATCAGTACGAGAAACTTTGGGTTATCTTAAATAATTCTCTTCATTGTATGACTTGGGTAGAATTAAAAGCATGTCGTTTGTTAGAATCTTGGCTGAAATGGAAAGAATCAAATGAATTATCTTGTTTTGCCTATCATGCTGCACTTCTTCTAATTAATTCTGACATATGGTCTGTCGAAGCTACAGCAATCGTATGTGACCTTTTATCTAGTGACAATGATCGTTTTCGTCAGAGAGCTGAAATATTGTCACGATCATCAAATGAACATGATGTTCGAACTAGTTCAAAATTGAGTATCAACGTTATATTAACTTTACTTAAGAAAAAAGTTCAGTATCAATTAACTTCAGCATCTGTTAAGCTCACATTGGGTCATTTGCTCAAAAATATAAATATAGATGTTCAATCTCATCTAGAAACATTACTTTGGCTAGAAAGATACAGAATACATGCATTGACCAATAAGCAATATTCCTTTAACGATTTAAGATCATCGAAAAATTCTTATGTAACTTCATTTTTTTCAACTGATATAGCGATAGATGCTGGTCCTTATGCTAATTTGTTTCGACTGTCTCGTGATTTGATAACATATATGTGTGATATGATTGCATCAAATTTTTCTTTATTTCNCTCAAGTTTTTCTTTAAGTCGATCAATATCATTTTCAAGAAAATTTTCTTCCTCTTGAAGATAACGAATTTCTTTTGTGATTGATTCAAGTTGTTTTGTTATTTTTATTCTTTGTTTATCAATTAATTGGATAAGTTCATGATGAGCTCTTTCTGCTGCTTTTTCTATTTTGTTTATTATTATTTTTTTCCATTCTTCAATTTGATCAAAAAGATCCAATGAAAAATAATTCGATTTTTCGAACTTTTGTATTTGGTCAAGAAGTTCATCGTGAGATCTAACTATTTCATTATCAAATTTTATTGATAGTTCTTGTTCATGTTCTTTGAAATCCTTTGGACAAAAATATTTTTTACATCCCATGCAAAAGTATTTAACTGAAGGTTTGTTGCAAATTGAACATACATTTGATTCATTTACTGTCGCCATTTCTCTTAGAAGAAAATCAGTCGAATTATGTAATGTATTATGGTAATATCTCAAATAATCTCGGTCTAAAATAGAATCACATGAATATTTATAGAGAAAAAATAATTTTAAGTGATTTACTCAACATCCTTTGTTGACAGTTGGAATAAAACTTTGTTCAGGTGTCTCAAATATGACTTTATATGTGTTCAATAAGTACACAGAAACAAGATTATATGAGTCTTCAATCGATTAATTTGCTTATGGTTTAAAAATTACAAAAATCTCGATCAAATTCGATAGTTTCGAAGATGTCATAAATTCATTTTGCAAAAGAAAAAAAGTGTTTTGAAATAAATTGATTTATGTTGATAGAAGTCAGAATTCAATGAAAATATATCTGAACTCAGTATACGAATTTCTTTATAAAGAATAAAGATGTTTTCAATAAATAAAAACTTATTTTCATTCTGTGAAAGATGTTTGTTAGCCGAGATTGGAACATATCTCTGACAATATCATGAATTTGAGACAAAAACAAAAAATGATTGAAAACATGTGATGATTTTCCAAATAGCAAGACGTGAATGATTGGATGAATCAATGAAAAGTAACAATAACTTCTAAAACATTGTTTTCTTTGAAGAAGTTATATTGTTAGTCAACGAAAAAAAAAAACGATATCTTTCCCAAGTTCTTTCCTCGAAAAGTTAATTCGAACAGGTTAAGCCTTCTGTTTTAGTTGCAGCAAAACGACAAAATTCTGGAAGTAAGGTGCCAACAAAGCAAATTTCTAGTAAATTTTTTTTCCACATAGATCGATAGAGTGTGAGCTGCTGATCACGAAAAACTTGAAGGGAATCGTTTTCTTTCAAAAAACACAACTTTTTCAAAATATGCGACTCCAACCCCAAAAATCTTTTGATGATGGCACTTTGAATCGCGTCGAGTATGATGCGCATAGGTCGATTTTGTAAATCTATCTAGTTTTTCTATGTAAACGATAAAGGTAAATATTTTATCTCATTTCACTCACCATACAACCAGCCACAAAAGTACGATCCGCTCTTGTTTTTTTTTCTTTTCTTTGTCGAGAAAAAACGTTTTTACTTGTATGATAGTCATTTTAGGTAATATTCAACGATTTTCGAATCCAAATAAGACTTTTAGTCAAAAACTAAATACAGATTCTGAATCAGCACAAAAAACTAAGTTAGATGAAGAATCTTTCGGCCACATTTTACAACTTTCAGATTTTTCACACACAAAAATTTCAGTCCTCCGACGATATCTGAAAAAGTGAGCAAAACTGAAAGTTGTCAAATTTGCTTGAACGATCCTTTATCTAACTTAGTTTCTTGTCCTGATTCAGAATCTGTATTTAGTTTTTAACTAAAAGTCTTATTTGAATTCGAAAACCGTTGAATACCGCCTAAAATAACTATGATACGAGTAAAAACGATTTTTTTCGACAAAGAAAAGAAAAGAAAAAAAAGCGGATCGTACTTTGTGATTGGTGGTATAGTGAGCCAAATGAGATAAAATATTTACCTTTATCATTCACATAGAAAAACTAGATGGGTTTACAAAATCGACCGATGCGCATCATACTCGACGCGAATCGCAGCATCATCATCACAAGATTTTTGGGGTTGAAGTCGATTTGACAACTTTTCTATACTCAGTTTTTTTGTGCTGAATCTATAAAAAAAAGTATTTTCAGAAGCTTGCAAAAAGAATAAAGTAGAAAATTTGCACATTTTGACAAAGTTGTTTTTTTTTGATAAAAAAACGAGTCTCTTCAAGTTTTTCGTAGTTTTCAACCTGAAAAAGCATTTCCTGAAGCTAAAAACTAGTTTTTCGTGATCAGCAGCTCACACTCTATCGATTTATGTGGAAAAAAGGCAAAACAATTGTTATTTGAAATTTATTTAGTCGGCACCTTAGTGTGATTTCTGCTAGTGCATTTCTTTTGAATCTATACATCCAGAAAAATATAGTCGTTATTCGTATTTGAAATATATCAGCACTATAAAAGCACTTTCTGAAAAATATAATTACATATTCTTGGAGGATTTAGATCTTCAATCATCCTATATATTTCTGTTTTTAGTTTGCATTTATCTGTGAGAAAATAAGTCGAGTACAGTGAAAATACCTCCTTGAGTAGATTATCACAGACTTGATTTTGTCATTGTTATTGAAATAAGTTTTTGAAGTTTTTATCGATGTAGAAATATATTGTTGCAAACCAATGACTTTTTGTGAAGATTCTTGACATTTTCTATCATACCATTAAAACCTAATTTCATGTGAATTAAATTGTAAGTAAAAGAACTTTAACTTAACATTAAGTATTGAGTAATTCGTCAACAGTTAATATAACGAAATGAATTAATAGCTGCTGACGTTCTTTCTTATCAATTTTAAAGGTTAAACAGCGATACTTAACTTACTTCTAAATCAAGATAAATGATTCATCCCTACATCAGATGATCATTTACTTCTATAAATTTGACTCTTTCTACACACACATTTTTTACTGGTGGCTCGATGAAATATTTTTTTTGTTGCTCTGTATGAAAGACTTGATGTGAGAAGTGATGAATGAAGCAAATAAGCAACAGAACAAAATCAAAAGACACTCATATATTTTTTCTTATGAAGGAGAAAGAACTAGAAGACAACAGAAAAAAGATGCATTCGTCTCGCATACGACAAATACTGAAAGGGTTGCCTTCTCGAAGTAAAATTTTTGGATGACTAACTCACTGAAATAGAAATCATTAGTTGAAGGTGACGGTATAATAAAACTATCACGATGATGATTTTGCTTGTGGCAATATAAAACTCATCAGATAGTTTGAAGAGTGTAGCTAATGACAAGATATTCTGTAAGTCTTTTTTGAAAAACATCATTTATGTTATATTCGACAGAAAAAAATTCAAATGTATAGTTGTTTATTCGGCAGTTTTCGATCAAGAAAAACAAACAACTGTCAAGAAAGTTTTCGAACAATAATCGCAGCATATAAAAAGCCACATAGGGTGGAAAGTTAGTGAAGTGTGGGCGTGGCCGTAACAATGTCTCACACTCACATCCTACTCAATAGAGTTACCCATCAGTGCGGTTTTTTTTTAGAAAGTAAATATAAGTTTTGAAATAAATTTTGTACTTTTTCTCAAGAATAAGAAACACAAATTTACATCGTACTTTTGCTTTTCTTTCTAATACTTGTACCGAAACCAAACGGTACACCGTACAAGGATGGTGTGGGTGCGAGTGAGAATGAAAACAATACCCGTACCTATACCCACACCCATACCCCCACCCCAAATTGTCATTTATTTTTTGAATGTATTAATAATCGGAATAATGTGAATAAAAAGACAAAATTTTGAAATTTATCATCAAAAAGAAAGAAAATTGTTGAACAAAGAGAATTTTAATTACTTTTAATTACTAACAGTATTCAAAGTACTTGGTTTCATCGTGTTGCCTAGTTTTTACCGAGAGACAATTCATACGTGTCATTTCAGTCACAATATTTGCACCATCTATCTCGATGTGCTTCACACAAATCTATGCAGTGTGGTCTGAGTCCTCTCTGATGTCTGTGGTTTTGCTGTGGAAAGTAATATCCATAAAATTGTTCTAATATCCACAAAGCAAGCCAGTAGAAAGTCTCATACCAGCCGTTGAAGTTGAAATTGGCAGCTGTGTATATGGGGCAATACTGACAACCTTGTGTGTAAATTTTCATTTGAATTAAGCCCTCATCACACAGTTCACCGTTTTCATCTGTATATGTTGTAAAACGAGCTCGAAAAAGAATAGTTCCATATGCTGAAGTCCAAGTACGCTCTTTACTGGATGATTTTGAAGAAAAACACCGTGAACATGGAAAACTAAAATTTCGATGAATGAATTTACGGTAGTAGAATTTGAAAATTAATCTTTACCATGCTTTGCCAGAGTGTCGCTTGAAACGCCAACCTCGCGAAATTTGTTTTTTAATTTTATCTCTATGAGTGTTGACATTTCGCGGCATTCGCATTAAAGTCCATTCTTGCAAACCATAGTATTGAAAAATATCATAGAACATTTGCTCAATCTCTGTCCATGAGAGTAGATAATGATCTACTGCTTCTGCCATATTGATTAAGATGAAACTATGTATTACTTATTTGTGCGTGCAAGTATAGAAAATAACTGATAAGACTATCGTGTTATGTAATTCGAAGAAAAAAAGAATTTAAAATTGCTTATCTTTTCATGCTAGCTGAGAGTAAGCAGTGACACATTCTCTTTGATTACCACTTAAATCTTGAATTGCTTACGGTTATGAGGTCTGTGAAGAAGAGCTGAAAAAAACTTCACAGTTAGATAAGGGTGTGTGGATGTTGTTGTCATGTTCTATTTACCCACGCCCATATTTCGATAGAATTAAAACACATTGATCCATAAAAACATCCAAAATTCAAAGTTTAAATTAAAATATTCGAGATAATTTATAAAATACAATGGAGAAAAATAGACAGCATCACTAATTAATAAAGAGATCTAAGTTGATCTATTCAAATTATCGGGTGTGGATCGTGCTTCTTGATTTACTCCATCCACAACATCAAGTCTGAATTCATCCTCTGTATATAGCATAACTATCGTTCGATTGGCTTTCACTCGCTTCACAAGTAGCATGCATACTTATGTCAAATGTTTGTTTAAGAAAACCGTGCTGTGTAATTCAAAATAGGTTATTCAAAAAAATTGACGGGAATTTATGAGGGGGGGGGGAGAAGGGGCGGGAACAATCTAACGATTCAACCACGGGTATTAGCGGTAGTGAAGCGACGAGCTCCTCAGAGCGTGCTTCACAGGGCAGAAAATATTGTATTCTGCACACTTCTGCAGGATGCGCATAGTTTCAGATGCTTCTATGAGGTTTTGGATTTTTTTACAGATCATGTTCGAAATATCGACTTAAAATCGTAAATTTTATGTTCCACAATGAGAAGTGCTTTAATAGGAGTATTGAGTCAATAATTACTAAAGGATTGAAATTAAAGGTGCAGAGTTATCTACCATATTAGCCACCTCATGAGGGCTCATAAAGATGACACCTATTCTATGCTGTTTCTAGAGATCCGACGCTGATTTTCCTATGAGGTTATACATCACATGTGAATATTCTATAATCTTAATATCATCTCCTGAGTCGTTGGATATTTTGAGAAATAGCCTAGAGCAAGAAATGGTCACCTTCACTCAAAACTCCACTTTCTAAAGCTTGTTGTGGGCGACCAAAGTTGCTTTAAATAATGAATTTTGTCTGAATAGGTGAATTCCATGGAATACCAAGGATTTGACCGCTTGAACTGAAAATCGCCTTTTGTATAGAACTCATAGTTGTATAGATCTAAATAAAAGTTCAGTTTAGTAGATGAAGCCCTTCTGTTGTATCTTAAGACTTTCAAGTTCTCCTTTTTAAAACTTGTATTTTTTCAAGACTTTCAGTAAAAAATCAATCGAAAATCGACTCTTCAACATTTTTCAAATTGTTTTGCATCAAAATCCGTACAGCTCTCCCATCTAATCCCTATATCAAATTGAGCAAGATCTGAGGATATTAAATCCAGATAATCCTTTTTTGTCACATATATAGAGGATGCTATTTGCTTTTCTTATGGTAGTTGTTAGCAAAAAAAAGGTTAAAAATGATTTAATCGATATGTTATTTTCGGTGATACCTCTTGTAGTATCAGAGTGAGTAATTTTCGACAGGCACAAACGAACTGAATAACAATTCAGTTTTCCGTCATAATAGAATGAAGCACTAGTTTACTTAATTTTTTTGCAACTTTGATCGGAAGAAAAAATACAGCAGATTTCTTCCAACATCACAACAAAAAGTAAAAACAAATGCCTTGCTAAAAGCATGTAAAAGCTACATTCTTCGTGCATCAAAGAAATTTCGAAACAGGCGTACAATTTATGCAAGCAAGAGAATAGAAAAAATAAAAATATAGCTATATAGTGTTGATCGAACTGCATGCAACGCATAAAATAACAAAGACAGTTAGAGAGTCAGACAATTGAAACATCGGCAAGTAGCTTTAATTGCATTTATTCTTTTTTCAGATAGATTATTTAAGCTGGTGTTAAATTGGTTACACTGCATTGATTTAATGTAAAAGTGCAGACATTAAAATGACATCTACTATACCAATATTAAGAACATTGGACAGACTTATTCAACGAATAAATAAAGTCACAGTATGCCAAGAACATTTTAGACTAATTTCTATAGCATTAACTCAACTGCAACATGTATTGAATATAACAGACATAGAAGATGAAAAACATAAATTTGATGATATAGTACAGACACTAAAGGCGATCGATGAAATTATCATTGGGTGTAGCGAAAATGAAGTTGAACTTAAAGGAATGACCTATCGAGATCTTGAATCTTTATTACTTCGACTTCAATTACGACTCGCTCAGCATGCAATTGATTTAACAGATAACTATGAAGCAAAAATTCAAATACTAACTAATGCTTATCATGATCAACAAATTCTTGTTCAAAAAGTTTTTGATGAAAAAATAAAACAACGATTAGATGCAATCGAAAAGAGAACCGAAGAAAACACTATGGAACAACTTCATCTACTACGTGAAAAACATTTCCATACGATCAAAGTTTATCTTCGTTGTTGTACTGAACTACACAAAAGTGTACCTCTTACTGGTCTGAATGGTGATATTGTTGCTAAAGTTGCTTATAATTTTTACCACATTTCTTCCGAAGATAAAAGTCAATTAGAACATAAATGGAAATCATGTGATCTTCCTCTCACTCGTACATTCATTCAATTCAAACCTGATAAATCTGCATCATTCGAAAGAAATGAATCACGACGTTTACTCATCGGATCAGAAAGCCACTTATTTCAAAATCATCATAATAGAAAAGGTGCATGGGAAGGTATATGGCAAAGATTAGTTTCAGCTCCTTACATGATGTCGATGGTTGATAGAGATCGCTATTCAGAGGAAGATGATGTTACTGAGGAAAATATTATTCGATTGAAACGTTGGATTGTTATTTTGGGTGATCCAGGAAGTGGAAAAACAAGTTTTGTTCGATGGCTTGTTTGTCATCTCGCTCAAACACTTCTTAATGAACAACATTCAACTGATTATGGTCCTCTTCGTATACCAATTCTGATTCGTATTGGTGAATTTGCTGAAATATTGAACGAACAGCCATCGCTAAGTTTATTTGATTATATTGGAAAACATAAATGGATGGGCAAGTCAATAGTTGATGACTCATCAATATCTCTTGATAATTTATCATGTGCTCTTCAAGACTACATTAAACAAGGTCAAGCTCTTATCATACTTGATGGTCTTGACGAGATTCCTGTTTCAGATCAACGTTCAAAAATTATCAATCTTGTTGAAAACTTTGTCGATAGTTATGTTCAAACACCTACGGGTACCTCTGCATTTGACGATCGATATTTGAGTAGACTATTTGATAATCCATCGAAATCGGGCGGTAATCAATTGATCGTCACAAGTCGTATAGTTGGCTATCATGTTGCTCCATTAGCTGGTCAATTTGCTCATTATACAATTCGACCTATGGATATGGAACATATGAAAGATTTTGTTGACTATTGGTTTTTTCGTGTTCATCAACGTATACTTGACACATTGGATCTTCCATTGATTAATCAAGGAGAAAATCAAAGTGAAGCACTTAAGAAAGAACTAGAAAAAACGGAACACATTGGACTTCTTGATGTAGCTTCTAACTCTTGTTTGATGTCATTTATTTGTAGTGTGGCTTTCAATCAAGTAAAAGGCTCACCATTGCCTACTCAACGTATTCTACTCTATGAAGCAATTGTTAACTCTATGTTAAGTTTGTGGAGTACTAAAAGATCGACCATTCCAATACGAGAATTAATTCAAATTTTCAGTAATATTGCAACTTATATTCATGGAAATTCTGCATCAGGTCTTATTCATGAAGAAAAAATGAAAGAAATTTGCATTCAATCTATTAAAGATTCGGTAAGTAAAGACTTTGACAGTAAAAAAAATATCCAAGATATTGAAAATCAAGCATTCGAATTCGTACGAATCATTCGTGAAGATGTTGGTATTTTAGCTGCTCGAGGTGAATCACTCTATGGTTTTCTTCATTTAACATTTCAAGAATATTTTACTTGTTTAAAACTCATCAACATAGAAACTACGAAACAGGAGAACAAAAACTGTGATGAATCTAATTTACAGAACAAAGTTCAACTCGTTGCTCAGTCTATGCGGTATCATACAAATGATCCACGTTTTAAGGTACCTATTGCACTTGCTTTAGGCAAGATCAGTTATTCTTGGTCACAAAAAGATTTTGATAATTTTTGTTACGAGTTTATAAAAGGACAAGATGAATATGATTCTCTTTTACCACTTGGTGCATATATGTTAATTAATTGTGGCAATGATCTTGTGAAGTATCCTTCTCATGATGTTTTATTCGATGTTTTGGATTGTTTAATAATTGTAGCTGGTCAACATAAGTGGTCAATTGTTTGTCCGTTTCTCCTTGATCAAATTATAATTTTATTGAGAAAACTTCGACATGATATTGTTTCACTATGGATTAATAAATTATTGTCTCAATCTTCTTGGTATGATATTCAAACAATGTCGGCTCTTTGTCATCTCATCGAAGGAAAACCTCATGAATTTGAAAACATTAAATGGCTAAATCAATCATCTTGTTCAATGCTTCAATCCTTGTCAATACTGGATAATGAAAATAATGAATTTGCTATTGATCGACTATTAGTTAAAATTGCTTTCTTCAATCATCGCTTATTACCTGTTAATCCAAGCACTTTCAAAGGATTTCTTCTTGCTAAAGAAGTAGAGCTGTATTCGATTCCTACTATTCTATTTCCTGTAATCATCAGCTTATATGGCGGTTTGAAACGAGATGGTCCAGATATTGTCTTCGATCCATTTTATATTTATCGAGAATCAACTGTCGTGACACCGATGTTGATACATTTTCTTTCTAAAAACAATCTAAGTAACCAAAATGAGAATATAATGATGATTAAACAAGAATTTTTAAAATTATTATTGACACGAATAGAAAGCCAAGATGAATCTTGTGACACAGTTGATCTTTGTATTGCCATTATTAGCTTATACGGCATCGACTACGTTCAAGATAATCTAAAAATCATTTCCAGTTCTCTTTTACGTATGAGTATGCATAGACTAAAATATATTTCAATGATTTTACGTCAATTTTATTTTGCTGGCGATAGAAATGATCCATTGGATTCAAAGAGAGTAACAACATTTATTTCGAGTATGATCGAAAACTTTCAGTATGGCAAAGCATCAAAATTGCAATATTTGAATTTGTTAAATTCATTAAAAACTAGCATGGCTCGTTTACGATTTTCTACAACATCATTTTTAGTTAAAGGAACATCAGATTCTTATGAACGGGTGATCTTGTATCTACCAAATTCACTTCGAAGCGAATATAAACTTCTCAATGATATCTTATCCAAAGATATACAATTTTATTCGCGAGAAAAGTCTTGTTCTTTGCTTGATTATTTCACAAAACATTTCTGGATATTAGAGAATAGTGACAAGTTCGAGACACAGTATAGAATGGCTATTGCTTTGGATACAATCCCACAATATTTACTTTTCCGCAATGATGAAGATTTGCTATTTTCATTGACATTTATTCCTACACATCTACGAAATCTCTATTTGTGCTTATTGGAGAAAGGGCTTATTAAGATCCATCTCGAAGATTTTACAGCTAATGAGAGAGAACATCTTTTCTTCGGACACGTTTTACTTGAATGCCTGATGTTATTGTCGAATACATCATGCAAAAGACTTTCTCTTATGAGTGCCTTGATCACATTGTTACCTATGCTTCGTATGCATCACTTAGAAAACTTTGGTAGTACTCTTTTATGGGCATTAGATGCAAAAGATTCAACGTATTTGAACGTTTTCGAAGCTACAAAAAAGCATCCAATGAATTTCAAATCGGGTATGTACATAAATAAAAATGAAAATTTCGTTCCTGTACATCATATACTGGATGAAGAAAGAAGGGTACTAATTAAAAAATATATCGAAGAAGAACAACAACGGCTTCAAAATGCTTTAGCTGAATCTGATGGAAAAAGTATGAAACTGTATTCTGCATGCATCTCTTTGGCACGCACTTGTAGATGGACTCAAGATGATAATAGATTAACATTATTGGAATACAGTGTACAAGGAGCACTATCAATCGATAATAAACTTGCTCGTCTAGATGCATTATGCGTGATTGGCTTTTACTCTCATTCAGATTGCGATCAAATCAAAACTAAGAACGGTACATCTCTTCAAAAAGAAATCGACTTTCATTTACATGAAATTTATCCTGATTTATCGCTACTATTACACACAGCTATTTTCATTCGATGTTTACCATTACTTGAAGATCAACAGACAGTTAAGAAATGTCTACAGAGTCTTCAAAATAAGTTTACCAATGCTGAACAACGAGACCAGTATGTGGTCTATGAAGCATTGTTTCCTTATCTGCAATCAAATTTCGCTTTTTCTTCAGTTCTAAAACACATATCAAACAGTCTTCTCAAGTATAATAGAACAATCAATAATAAATCATCTATCCTTATGGAATGTTTTAATGATAATTTCAAAAAAAGCTTATCAAGTTCTCTACTTGTTTCCAATCTTTATCTTGCCGAATTAGCTAGTGACTTTCAAAAAACTATTACAATAGATGATCTTTCTTTGACCGTACTGCATTCTAATTTGCATACAATTGATAATCCAATTACATCTAGTCTGTTTCAATTTGAAGGCCCTATTTTAACAGTCATGCAAGTTTTCACTATTACAAATATTATTATCTCTAGTTATTCAATGAACGCTGCTACAGTTTCAGCACTACTCTGTCGGACATTGTATGTAAGTGAATATGCCGTCGATTCGATCAGTGCTTGATAACACTGAATATAATCAGAATCAAGCATTTCATATAATAATGAAGTATTCNGGGAACATATCCTCGAGATTATAAAAGCACTTGTATACGATTTTCTATGACTACAGATATAGGCTACTGCATATGATTTCCAATATGCGGAAGATATTAACTATAAAAGTAACTGATAAAATTCAGGAATAGTGAAATTTAGTCGTTCAAAAAACTGAATCAACTTGTCATATCAATAAAGATGTTCAATCAAAAACACTAACAACATGAGACTTTTGAATACTTAACAGCGAATTATTTTCAAGAAATTGCTTGACACTGTCGAACACGTTGATCGATTACCATCATATTGCTTGATTCGATCAATCTAATTTTGTGGAAGTGACATATTTTCGAAGAAAATATTGCGTGGAAGTCTTACTTCAAGGGTTATTATGACCCGTGGTGGACGGAAGGGGATGCAAAAACTCCTTAGCAATCAAGGATAACAACGGCGTACTCATTTCGCAGAATTCCTCAGAATCGGACAAGGGCGCCGAACTGCATTAGAGACTATATTTAAATTGTTTTAAAGAATTGTTGAAGATTTTAACATTCTCCTCAAAACTTGAGTCGCTACACTACATTTGTAAGCATATTAAATAGTGTAATATTTCAGCTGATAAAAATGTATATTCAAGATGTTAACAACGATGGGTAGTGATGAATTGATTTTCCATAGTCGTCATAAGATAAGCATAAAAATTGTCAATTGATCAAGTCATCATTTTGGAAAATAATCAATATTATTGTTTGTAAGCTTATCACGTTATCTAATAGCGCATTGACATTTGCTGCTATAGATGTAATACGTATGTACAACAGACTAATTGCTAAGATAAAGATTTGAAAAATAAGATAATTCTAAATAACCTAATGACTAATGAAATTTCGTTGACAATAACTACAGAATTCTTTATAAACAATTGAGAAAGGCCTGGAAAATATCTGCCGCTGCCGTAAAATGGTGTTTCTTTGTAAATCTTGCCATTATCGTGCCACCATCGCCACAATGGACGTCTGGGCAACAGAATGAGTCATTTTCCATAGACAAAAAAGAAAATAAGTGAAAAACAAACTATTGATGCCTAAAGGTAAATTGAAGCGTTATTCTACTATTTACGTTATGAATTTGATGTAAGGAAAAAAGCAGTAAATGTTTTCCAACATGACAGCTACACTCTATGTACGTCACAGACATATTGCGAAGCATACCTGCAACTCGTGGAAGTAAGAGGAAAGAAAAAATAAAAATACAGCTTTATAGTGCGAATCGAATCATATAGGATGCGCTGTCACAAAAAATGAGGAAATCAAACGATTGAAACATTAGCAAGTAGTTTTAATTATATTTCTTTATTTTCAGATAAAGTATCCCAACTGTGGTTCAATTTATCATAGTTAAACTTATTCGATAAAAACGTACACGTATTAAAATGACATCTACTCTATCGATATTAAGAACACTAGACAGACTTCTTCAACGAATAAATAAAGTTACAGTATATGAAAAACATTTAAAACTAATTTCGATAACTTTAATTCAACTTCAAAATACAGTAAATACAACCCGTATCGTAGATAATAAACACTCGTATGAAGATCTATTATATACATTAAAAGCGATCCATGGAGTTATTACTGGTTGTGTAGTGCAAATGAAGCTGAACTGGAAGGAGAGCACACAGCTAATTTGGCAGATAGTTTTGAAGCGAAAATTCAAATATTAAGTAATGCTCATCACGATCAGCAGATTCTTATTCAAAAAGTTTATGATGAAAAGATAAGACAAAAATTAGATGCAATTGAACAGGGTACCAAGGAAAACACTATAGAACAACTTTATCTATTATGTGAAAAAGATTTTCATACAATTAAAATTTATCTTCATTGTTGTATTGAGTTACATAAAAATGTACCTCCCAGTGGTTTAAATGATGATATAGTTGCGAAAATAGCTCGTCATTTTTATCAAATCTCTTCAGAAGATCAAAATCAATTAGAGACTAGATGGAAATCATGTGATCTTCTTCTCACTCGTACATTTATTGAATTGAAACCTAATAAATCTACATCATTCGAAAGAAATGAGTCACGTCGATTACTCATCGAATCAGAGAGTCACTTACTTCAAAGTCAACATCATAGTAGAGAAGCATTGAAAGGTGTATGGGAAAGATTAGTGTCAGCTCCTTATATGATGTCAGTGAAGAAAATATTATCCGAACAAAACGTTGGATTGTTATTTTGGGTAATCCAGGAATTGAAAAAACAAGTTTTGCACGATAGCTTATTCGTCATTTAGCGCAAACACTTCTTCTCAATGGACAATAGTCAACTGATTATGGTCCACTTCGTATTTCAATTCTCATTTGTATTGGTGAATTTGCTGAAATGTCAAAAAGAACAATCATGAATCACTTTATTTGATTATATTGGAAAACATAAATGGATGGGATAATCAATTATTGATGGCTCATTATCTGTTTCTATTAATAATTTACCATATTCTCTTCAAGATTATATTAAACAAGGTCAAGCTCTAATTATACTTGACGGTCTCGATGAAGTTCCAGTGTCAGGTCAACGATCAAAAATTATTAATATTGTTGAAAACTTTGTTGATGCTTATGTTCAGACACGCACAGGTGTTTCTGCTTTCGACAATGTATATTTAAGCAATTGATTAGATGATCCTTCTCGATCAGCTGGTAATCAATTAATTGTAACAAGTCGTACAGTTGATTATCATGCTGCTCCATTAGCTGGACAATTCGACCGATGGATATGGAACATATGAAGGATTTTGTCGATTATTGGTTTTTTCGTGTTCATCAACGTATACTTGACACTTTAAATCTTTCATTAATAAATCAAGGAGAGGATCATGACAACGCACTTAAAACAGAACTAGAAAAAAAGAACAAATTGGATTTCTTGATGTAGCCTCAAATTTTTGTTTAATGTCATTTGTTTGTGGTGTGGCTTTCAGTCAACTACAAGGTTCATCATTACCTATTCAACACATTCTACTCTATGAAGCAATTGCTAATTCTACGTTAAGTTTATGGAGTAATAAAAGATCAACCATTCCAATAGAAGAATTAATTCGCATACTTAGTGATATTGCTAGTACTATTCATGGAAATTTTGCATCAGGTCTTATTCATGAAGAGAAACTGAACGAGATTTGCATTCAAACTATCAAAGATTCACTGGGTAACAATGTTTATACTAAAGAATATATCGAAGAAATTGAAAATCAAGCATCTGAATTCGTATGAATCATTCGTGAAGACGTTGGTATTTTAGCTGCTCGGGGGTGAATCACTTTATGGTTCTCTTCATTTAACATTTCAAGAATATTTCACTTGTTTGAAACTAATTTACATAGAAAAAGCTTCTAAATGTTGTTTAAGGAATAAATTACAACTTGTTTCTCAAGCTTTGCAAAATCATACGAATGATCCACGTTTTAGGGTACCTATTGCACTTGCTTTACGCAAGATCACTTATTCTTGGTCTCAAAATGATTTTGATAATTTTTGCTACGAGTTTTATAAAAGAACAAGATGAATGTAAATCATTGGTACCACTTGGCGCATATACACTAATTACTTGTGTCAACGATCTTGTTAATTATCCTTCAGATGAGATTTTGTTCAATGTCTTAGATTGTTTAATAATCACAGCTGGTCGACATAAATGGACGATTGTCTGTCCATTTCTATTCGATCAAATTACACTTGCGTTAAAGAAATTTCGAAATGATATTATTCCATTATGGGTTAACGATTTATTATCACGATCTTCTATACATAATATTCAAACAATATCAGCTCTTTGCCATCTCATCGAAGGAAAACCTCATGAATTCGAAAAAATCAAATGGTTAAATCAATTATCTTGTTCAATGCTTCAATCACTATCAATACTTGATAATGAAATTAATGAATTTTCTATTGATCAATTATTAGTTAAAATTGCTTTCTCAAATCATCGTTTATTACCTATCAGTCCAACAATTCTCAAAAAATTTCTTCCTGGTTAATAAATAGTATTCAATTCAATTCCTATGATCAGCTTTCCTTTGATCATTACTTTATATGGTGGTTTGAAACGAGATGGTCCTGCTGTTGTCTCCGATCCTTTTTATATTTACCGAGAATCAACTGCGGTAACACCGAGTTTGATTCGTTTTCTCTTCAGAAGTAATCAACATGAAAATATAACAATGATTAAATAAGAATGTCTAAAATTATTACTAACACGAATAGAAAACCGGGATGATTCTTGTGAAACAGTTGATCTTTGTATTGCAATTATTTGCTTGTACGGCATCGATTATATTCGAAGCAATCTGAAAATCATGTCCAGTTCCATCATGTACAAAAATATGAATAGGTTAAAATATATTTCAATGATATTACATCAATTTTATTTTTCTGGTGATAGAAATAATCCATTGGATTCAAAGAAAGTAACAACGTTTATTTCAAGTATAGTTGACAAATTTGACTATGACAGATCATCAAAGCTAGAATTTCCGAATTTGTTAAATTCATTAAGAACTAGTATGGCTCGCTTACGAACTTCTTCAGCATCAATGCTAGTCAAAGGAAAATCAGACTCTTATCAACAACTAACATTATACCTACCGAATTCTCTTCGAAAAGACTATGAATTCCTCAATTATATCTTATCCACAGACCAACAATTTCATTTCGGACGAAAGTCATGTTCTTTACCTGATTATTTCACAAAACTTTTCTGAATATTCGAGAATAATGAGATGTTCGACACACAGTATAGAATGGCTATTGCTTTAGATAAAATTCCACAATATTTACTCTTTCGCAATGATGAGGATTTAGTATTTTCATTAACATTTATTCCTTCACATCTACGAAATCTCTTTGCGGATGTTAGAACAAGGGTTGTTTATCACCCGCCCGGCAGATTTTACAACTAATGAGAGAGAATATCTCTTCTTCAGGCAAATTTTACTTGAATGTTTGATGTTATTATCCAATATTTCCTGCAAAGGATTTTCTCGATTAGCTGCTTTGCCAACATTGCTGCCTATGCTTCGTATGCATCATTTAGACAACTTTGGTAGTAGCCTTTTATAGCCATTAGCTATAACATATTTGGCTTATTTGAATGATTTCGAAACCCGGTTTGTATATAAATAAACATGAACATCTGATTCCTGGAAATATTATGGTAGATGAAGAAAGAAGAATATTGATTGAAAAATGTATCCAACAAGAACAACAGTGTCTTCAAAATGCTTTAACTGATTCTGATGGGAAAATAATGGAATTTTATTCTTCATGTGTCTCTTTGGCACGCATTTGCTGATGGTCTCAAGATAAAGATAGAGTAAATTTACTGAATCAAAGTGTAAAAGGAACAATTGCCAATCGATAACAAACTGGTTCGTCTGGACGCATTAAATGTGATCGACTTTTATTCTCATTCAGATTACAATCAAATCAAAACTCAAAATGATACGTCTCTTACAAAAGAAATACATGGTCAGTTTAGTAATATCTATCCGAATTTATCTCTACGATTGCATACAACTATTTTCATTCGATGTTTACCACTACTTCAAGATCAGCAAACGGTGAATAAAAGTCTATAAAACCTTCTAAATAAGTTTACTCATGCTGAAACAAATTTCATGTAGCTTTCTTCACTATAATACAACAAACAAAAACAAATCATCTGTTATTATCGAGTATTTTAATAATAATTCAGATGAAGACTTATCTGGCTCTCTCCTTGTTTTGAACCTTTATCTTGCAGAATTAGCCAGTGACTTTCAAAAAATTGTTGCAATATATGACCTGTGTTTGATCGCATCCTATTTTAATCAGATTACCATTGATAGTTCAATTACATTTAAATTATTTCAATACGAAAGTCCTATTTTAACATTCACACAAGTTTTCACTATTATTAATATTATTTTCTCTAATCATTCAGTAAAGCACCTCATACAATCCGACAAACTTTAAGCTATTTTAAACAATGCATTACTTTATTTGATTTTGTTGAATTCAAAGTATGCCGTTGGCCAGAGTCTTGGATGAAATGGAGACATTCAAAAGAACTATCATCATTTACTTGGCATGCTGCACTAATTCTCGTGAACTCTGATTTATGATCTGTTAAAGCAGCTACAATTGTCTGCGATCTACTACGTAATGAAAATGATCTTGGGTGTGGGTGTGGCTTTTCATTACTACAAATACATGCACACCCCACACCCTATTTCACAAAACCAGCATAACGAGTGTCCAAATAATTTTTTGACATAGTGTATGTTCCAGTCAGCATATATTTCATGACTGAACATCAAAGAGAACCAAAAAGAAAGAACAACAAAGAAGAAAGAGAAAACAGAAATATATGATCGGGTGTTGTTAACACACATCACAACATCATATTAATAAAATTGAGATATTTTCACATGAGGAAAGTAGGCTTTGAAACGTTGAAATATTTTAAATTTAGCAGGAATCATTAGTTGAATTACTTTAGCACAATTGAAACGCATTGTATCTTTTTTAAAATTATTTGTCACTTTTCTTAATGGACGATATTCAACACTAAGACATAGATTGTCCGATAAGAGTGTTTTCGTATTGTCTAGAAATAATTCAACATAATCTTTATGAATGTCGATAAGTTCGAGATCATTCAAATGAGGATATTTAATGAGTGGATAATTCATATTGTTATTCTTCAATTTTTGTCCTTTTCGATTGCTTAAAGATAGTTTTCGTAGAGATGGAAATGCTTGTGCAATTTCAATAAAAAATTCATATTCAAAAGGATGTTCATCATATAATGATATTTCACGAACACATTTGAATAATCCACCTGGAAAATTATTTGTAATATTATGATAATAGCTTAGTGTATATGGATATGAATAAACATGACATTGACCACGTTTCATTTTTGGAAAATAATCAACACAAGATATAATTTGATTGCCTGTAAAATTTGAAAACGTCCGCTGAATATCATTATTTGAAAGTAAAGAAATTTGATCGTTCAGAGAAATAATTGAACGAATATTAAATAAAAATTTATTTAATCGTGGCATATGATTAATAATATTCTTCTTCAAATCATTCCCATCTATGAATCTATGAATATGATCGTGTGCAAGATATAAAGAAATACTTTCTAAATTCGACATTCGATGCAGAAGTGGTATAATTAATTCATCGTAATAGTTCTGTTCTAATTGACAGGTCAATGAGAAACATCTCAAATTAGGTAATTCTTCCTAAAAAAACGAAAACAATATTTAATGATGAATATTCATAGGAAACATTTGAATAATTCATTGAAAAAAAACAATATTTGTTTAAATAATAATTGTTGTATTCATGCAAAATAATTTACCTTGTTGCCGATCATTGCTGATGGAGGAAAAATGAACCCTATATTAACATATAAAACGCGAAGTTCATTGAATCGACCATCAAGGAGATAAAGACAATCATTCGAGTTTTCCAAATTGATATGTAAATCCATCAGAGTTGAAGAGAAAAATGTCGAAAGTTCATCATTAAATGATAATCGCGGAAAATACATATAATCAGGTGAATATATATTCAAATAGCGTAGATTGGTGAATACAGTAAAGATACGTGCGCAAACAGCTGTTATCGTATCTTCTGTTAGTCGTTTTCTTCCTATGTCCGGAATTGTAACAACCAAACTCCAAATCTGATTTTCGTTAATACGACTGAGTGGAGTTTTATCTAAACATATATACAAATCTATTGACAAAAAAAATCATCGATTCTTTTATTGGCTTTAAAGAACCCTACATTGTACATATATGTTCTTTCTCAGAATTGAAAAATAATTCGAAGAAAATTGAAAACACTCTTATCGCCATATTCCAATTGACTGCACTATCTTACTCTACTTCAAGTTTTCTTTAATATAAACTTACCATAAAATCAATTTCTGAAAAAAGTAATTCCATATTCTGATAGAAGGTCATGTTATCTATGATTTTACATCTAGTAATCTTTTGACTTCCAAACAATTTGAATATTGAGATGTTTAACACATTCATGGCGATTCGATTTTCTTTAAAAATAGCTTTCAGAGATTCATTTTCGTGTACATCTACCTTCTGATAAACGCACTTAGTGGTCTTTTTTTTGGTATATGCTACCAGTTCTTTTGTTCTTTTTGTTTACATGTTTGCATAGACAATCCGTTTTCACTTCAAACAGAATAATTACTCAAGTCTGGTTTTTCTCTCTCTTTTATACTGCGCAGTAGGAACGAGATCAACGAAATGCGGTTTCGATTTTTTTTCTTTTGTATTCTTTTGTGATGTTATCTTTTACTCTTCTCTCGCGTTTATAAAAACAGATGAATTTTGCGATGCATTATCTCACAGTGTGAATCACTTGTATCTTTTCTAAAATCGTACATATAACGTGTATAATATGCATATAGATCTCTTCTTTCTGAAACCTAACCCGAGACTACAATCAGCAAGTCGTTTGAAGTCTAAAATTGCGGAACACAAGCTCGAAGAAAAAGACGGACCTGCTTGCGATGTACGAAGACGCTGTGCTGACGGCTATGAGAAAATTAGGCAACAACAACGAAGAGAAGCAAGTGACACAGCAGCGAAGAGAATAAAAACTTTCTCTTCTGATTGTGATAAATACTTTTGTCTTGATTGTTTCGATGAAAAGCATTACTCAATATAATAAAAGATTCGAATACTGAACAAGACGAAGTAAATAAGGGCACGGCCAGCCATCGGCCACCCTTGCATGAGGAAGGTTTAGAATCATAAAAATGCAGAAAAGTTTTTTTTCTATAGAGAGTATGATGTTGAAATATTATTGAACCTGTTCCCCACTCGGAGTAGCTGAGCTGACATATGACGCCAATTTCACTTTTCTTTATTAGGAGTTTAAAAACACGATTAGTTCATAAATTTCACCAGTTTTTCATCCTGTAACTTTGCATTTTTGTCCAAAAAATTAGCAA